ACGGTAGAAGGCCTTTTATTACTAAGTGAATGTATCACGTCACATCGACGTAAAAAACGAGGCCCACATTTAGGTTCTCAGCCGCGGCAATGGAGATATATTTTAGAGGCAGCGCGTGGGGCTGTTTATTCTACACGAAATAATAATATCGAATGGTAGCCACTTCCAGATGTTGGTTTACACATTCTCTTCGAGTTTTTGTATGACGACAGGTAGTGTATTTTTCTTTTTATTAGTCCTGAGTAGGCCCGTAGCCCCGGGGGCAGGGGAGGGGGGGGGGAGGGGGCAAAGGCTTACCTGAGTCTCCCTTCGCAAATCTCTGATGTGTTTTTATCGTGAATAAATAGTGAAAAAAAGTTTTTTCTGGAACACATGATGGCTTGAGCAAGCGCAGCCCTTACCGGAAAAAACTCCTGGCTGCCAAGCTAGTCCCGAGGATGCATATTGGCTGCCAAGTGAAGTAAATACTTTCAATGGTGTTGAGATCACAGAACGTGATTTACATACAGAACGTCATTTTAGTCTGCGCTAGCCACTAGTGAACATTTCTAGACGCAAGTTTACTTTGGCGCGTCGACTCAAGCGTTCGTCGCTCTAATCGCTGTAATGTACATGTATATTTAGTTATCCACTCTTGCAGTAATTGTGCACGTCGGGTACAAAAGTTTTTTTTTCTTTCCTTCACCCCACTGCTGCAGCTTTGTTAACATCTCTTCCGGAAACGTTGATGACGCTCAGCAGCGCGTGCATGAGCTATAGTCGGCGAAAGATGCAAATGTTCGTTTAGTGTGCTACGTTATACGTCTGTGTCCTATTGAGAATTGGGAGGAAATTTTGGAAGCTCACTTCTAAAAGAATGCTGTACTGGGCAGGCTATAGCTGTTGCAGTTCGCAAAAATAAAGAAAAATGTGTGAAAGAAATAAGCATCTTGTGTCAATATTTCAATGATTTCTCAGTTTTTAGTTACTGGTTACATGTGAATCATTATTAAAACCGTAGCGGGCAATGGGATCAGATGTTTAATATGCCTTTATTAAAGTGCATAGGCTTCCTGTGAGTTCATGGTTACTTTTGCTTAATGAAATTCTTGGTGTGTTCTATGTATGATACCCGCCTGACTTGTTAGTTTTAATTGTGGAGCACTTCAGGGCTTCGGCTTGTCGTCAATCCATGCATCTCATGCAGCGTGATTATAGGCTCGCAGCAAAGCGCCCCTGGTTGCCATAACAAAACTAGAAACACTCGAAACCGGCTTAAAATGAGTGACAGATGTAAAAATAAAACGTACTAACAGAAAAAAAAACGCGCAGTAGTCGGGAGAATGAACTGAAAATCGCGGGAAACGTATAAGAAACCTGCGCCTGGTTTCGGAGCCGCGCACGAGAGGGCGCCACGGCCTCGCCGAGCAGGCGAGTTCCCCCTCCCCATGCGCTTCGCCGGCGCTGCCTCGCTACGTGACTGTACATCTGACGGAACTCGCTGTAGACTACACCTCAGCTGCTGTAGCGAGCAGAAAGTCGGTGAAGTTCAGCAAAAGATAGCGCACTTGTCGCTCGGCGAGTTGGCGAATCTTCCCAACTAGATTCTACTTGTGTCGGGGAAATCCTACGCGCTTTTTTCCAACAGTGACGTCATCGACGGTTTGGTGAATGGTGCGGTGGGACCTCCACGAACGGGAACCGCTGGGTGTCCGTGTGACGCACTTCCTCAATCGCTTTTTACCGTCTCATTCATTCCTCGTTAAATGAAACGTATCATTCTTAGCTTTTTAATACTTTCTGTTGTTTGGTCTCTGCGTCATTTAAAGACGTGCAAAGGAGAACACAATGGACGCATAGCACACGCTGGAAAGTAAAAATTGAAGATTGCGGGGGAAAAAATCCGTAAACAGGGGTTGTGTCGAGCTGACGTTTTGACGAAAAAACTTGTCTTCCTCAAGGCTGGAATAGAACAGCCTCGAGGAAGACAAGTTTGCTCGTCGAAACGTCGGCTTTGTGCAGCTCAGCTTACTGATTTTTATTGCGATAGCCGTTATAGGGACACGTCGGGGTCACTCACCGTATATGTACACGTATCAGTATAAATGAAAACGCGAGGAAGAAAAAAAATAATTCTGAAAGACTCCGGCGCCGAGACTCGAACATAGGACCTCTGAATTGTGAACATAGGACCTCTGAACTTTGAAGGCGTTAATCACTGGGAAACGATTGAGCACCTCCTTCAACGTTCGAACGGCTAGCTATTTATATCTACCGCTTACCGATGGTGACGGGCATCTTGGGAGGAACTATCGTGTTTTCAGTATCACCAGCAAGTTGACGCAATGAGCGCGCTCATTTCATCTCCCACGCGTACTTTGCCCCGTGGAGAGGGAGCAGGGTGCACGCTAACGCGTGCGCTTATCTCGCGCTGGGGACAATCGTACGTCTTGGCGGGCCTTGGGATTTCTCCGGAACGATTCTGTATTAGTTGCCGGGCGCACAAATGTCACTGTAATCGTTGCACAGTCTCCGTTTGCGAAAATGGCTCACTTTTCAGACACAGTGAAGTAACAACTGAGACGCTTATTCGCGTTCATCTCTACCTGTGAGTACGTTCCATTTGTCATTAATGCGTGAGAAACGCGGGGCACGTTTCGGTCTGCTTGCCATTCTGCGCGAGACTTTCCAATTTGTTGCTATCGTGTTCAATGCTTCGCTTTTGCGGCAAAGCTGTCTTTTTTTTTTATCAGTCTTCCATTTTCCTCTTCCAGCGTGATATATGTGTCTACTGTGTTGTCTTCATCGCCCAATTCAAACGTGTTCAAAATCGATCAAACAACTAGCCCGGCAACATGTTTTACTGGGACATTTAACTGCGGCGCTGTGTTTCTCGTATTTCGTCCGTGGAAGCTCGGTGCATCGTTATGCCACGTTCCATTTGACATGGTTGCCAAGACTGCACATGACACGGTACTCGAAAACCTGTTGTATCATCTTCGCTTTTCAGAATGGAATACCGAGTCTGATTACCCTATGGTGTACCGACGAAAACCTTGAAAAGCTACCATATAGTGGTGACGTTCGGGAACCCAGGCTTCAATAAATGAAATATGGAAACACTGGGTGACGCGAATTGGGGTATTCTTCGCACGCTCCGTCGAGCAATTTTTTTGTGGCGTTTCATTTGTTACTTCTTCTTTATTGTGTTAGCTGAAACACAAGCATGGGCAAGTTCGGCAGAAACCTCTTCCATTAGGTGAAGTGTGCATCAGTGGTGGCGCGGCAATATTGTTTTTTTTTTTTTGCTGTTGTTGTCTTGGAATCTTATCTGAACGACTGTACTCCTTCGAGGGGCGTATGTTTGCAGGTTGCATCAGCTCTTTGCAGTACGTGCGTTGATACCCAGATGCCTGGTTTTACTGCCCTACGTATCTCCTTGTATCATAACTGTTGTTTAAGGGTATTTTTCTTATGCTTTTTTTGTGTTTCGTCTCTTTGCATACGTTATCGACTGATATGTGATACTTTTCCAGTGTAGTTGCACAGCAGATCAAGTTGGACGCAATGTACTGCGTATAATATTTGGCGTACAATAACGCAGCGTTGGATGGTGCGTGCCGCCGCTTTTTCAGCGCGCTTTTCATTATACCGGCTGTCAGCTCTGCCTCTCTCTCTGCCTCTGTATTAGGTTGTTTATCGGCCTAGGTGAAACGTTGAGTGCCGGATTTCCCAGTGGGACATTACGTGGAAGGCAGTTGCACATATCGAAACACGGGCTTCGTTTTACAATTCGAGATCCGAAAACGCATCGGCGTGCCTTAGTGCTTCGTGATGGGCTGGCTCGCGGGCGACTGCCTGCTGAATATTTATCCTTGATCACGCGCTTGAGCTTATAGGGGTTGTTCGATCGTACCTCTCGATCGGCAAGGCTCGCCTTATATGCGGTGTATACTTGTTCAAAAAATAAAACACTGCGCGAACGAAACGGAGACGCAAGACGAGAAGGACGTAGTTAGTCCGCTCTTCTTTCTTCCCATTCACATTACAATCTCGTCTAATAACAAGCCCTGTACTTTCCTTGGCATCACTGTCTGTCAGTTATCGTTAAAGCATATATAGTTACGACATAATTACGCTGTTTCATTGCTTAAAGAAAACGGATTGTGCAACTTATATTTCAACGTGTGACAGTATTCACGCGTGATGCTGCACGCGTCTGCATATGATATAAAGCGACTGCCCGACACCGTGAGCCTTATGTTGTGACTACGGTCGCTAATGATTGTCGTGTTCTATTCTCACTTTACGCTTGATCGGTTTCAATTTGCATATTATTTCGCACCTGCTATTCTTTTATTGCGATAGCATTTCTACAGACGCTCTCGCTGAGTTTTCGCTGTCGTTGTCATGACCTGGAGATGTATGAATATATGCGTGCAAATAAATGTAAGCCACAAAGTACAACAACTAAAAATAAATGATTTTAAAACGCGCCACCTTGATTTGAACGTGCTATTCCTCGGCACTTGCAGCGCGCTACTGAAGCAAAAAGTAACTCCTTCAACTGCTGTTAGTTCGCGCTTCTCCTGCGTATACATGTGCGTTCTTTTCGAGCGTCATTTCTCGTTTTTGAGCCGCGCGCTGCATGTATCGAGCTACTTGCCGTTCTTCGTGTCACATTTTAATTTGTTGCCGTCGCATTCATTGCTTCGCCCTTGTGGTGAAACTGTGACTTTTCTCAGAACAGTGTAAACTTGGCATATCCTCTGGACAGCTTACCAATCAGTACTTTTTTTTTAATTTAGCCATATGCATTTTCGTGTGGTATGAACTATACGGACATGTTGTTGAATATTATCGGCTTGCGATGGCGCTCGAAGCCAACTGATTACGAATGCGCATGCCTACGGCGGCATCGATTGTCCTACTATCTAATGACCATTGTTGTGCCTTGCCTTGCCGTGTATGCAAAGTATTGAGAGTGACGTCGTGTTTCTTTTCTCTCTGCGCATGCGCAGTGGCGGTCCGCGGCCCCAGCAAGGAGCTAAAGCAGAGCAATGGCGGCCTCCGCGCAAGACGGCCCTACGAACCGCAGTGAGCTGGAGATGATCCAGCTCAAGATGAACCAGACTACGGACGAGGTCAGTGTGGCATGATTTTGCCTCCCTTTTACGTGCATTTCTCTCTTTGTTTTTGTGGGCGGGGGGGGGGGGGGGGGTGTTGTTTCTTTTTCAGGCTATAATCAACACCAGCGGCATTTCAAAGTGTAGGAGTGACTGAACAGCCGTGTTAGTAATGTTTCAGTTTCATGCCACGAGGGTCTACAAGGGAAATACCTAAAATATAAGACAGGGCATTGACATATTGCGGAATCACTATACATAAAAAAAAATCTAACGACAGGACAGAAGCAAACTGAGTTATAGTCGATGCTGTACTGTCGTCTTGTGTATCTTCTTTTTGTGATTGTGCTTTAGTGCCACAAAATGTCTGTTAGCGAACAACAATCTGGTCCTGAACACGTTTTCGGGAAAACACAGAAGGGAGCGCTCTTTCCCATATCCTGTTAAACTTCCTTTTGTCTATCACCGTGGCATATGAAAGGTGCGTTCCAGCTGACGGAAGACGTGTGTGCGTACGAAAATCCGCGGGGCATGATACTATGACAGATGTTGCAAAATTTTGTCATATTGGCAAAGTCGCATTTCTCGATTTTTAGTACAAAAATAAGCCCAATAAGGTAAGCCATGTTATGGCCTAGTATCTTATCATCCAGATATGAATTTTTAAGTACTAAACAAACAAAACAAAAAAAGAAATACAGTTTATTAGATCTTATAGACTGTCAGGTCGAATAGCACAGCCCCTATCGGCTTACGGCCCCACTATGGGCGAGATAAAAAGCATGACGAAATTTGGTAGCGCCCGGGATAGCACTACCTTGTCTCTCTGGCGATTGCTCGCGAGGTTTCTTGCAGGCGTCGTTGGTTTTCCGCGGCACCTCACTGTGGCAGATTGGTTGCACGCAGTGCTTAAAGGTCGTTAAAAAAAATAGCTGCTTAGAAAATTTTAATATTTATGGGTATTCATTTCCATCAACTTGACTTGCAGGCTGTAATCTATTTAATGCTTTCTACTTTGTTATATCAACTTGGAGAAACGTCTCGACGGTTCATTAAAAGGAGGCGGGTAGTGTTATGCAACGGTAATATGCACTGATGTCCACTACTAAGGGACCAATCAATCAATCAATCAATCAATCAATCAAACAATAATCGGCAGAAATAAAAATAAGTTTGAGTAGAAGCTTGGTCATAGCAATCAATCAATCAATCAATCAATCAATCAATCAGTCAGTCAGTCAGTCAGTCAGTCAGTCAATCGATAAGCGCTAGAAATAAAACTAAGTTTGAGGAGAAGCTTGGCCATTTTTTGAATGCATTTCAACGCTTATATCTAACCAAAGGGACTAGGATGCTGGGGCGACTGCATTTGCGTCTGCCGCCCGTGTCCTGTTCCTCGGATGCGTTATGAACGTTCAAATGAATGTCACAACTCTGAGGTCTGTGGCACTTCGAAGAGCTTCGTTTGGTCTTGTGTGTGTTGGAACCCTGCGCTTGAATAGTTAGTTGTCATGGAGACCTTTAAATGAAGCCCCCCCCCCCCCCCCCCCTCATTGGTGAGCTTGTTGTGCGAAAAAGTAAAAAGTTGTGAATTTGTGTAAATCAAAAGTATATAAATTAGGTATCTCGCCAGGGATCCAAGTACTCAATCTTGAACATGCAAGTTTTTTTCACGTCGGTGCAAGAAGTGTAACTTCATATGATGATGGTGATGATATGTCGGGTTTAACGTCCCAAAACCACCAAATGATTGTGAGAGACGCCGTTGTGGAGGGCTCCGGAAATTTCGACAGCCTGGGGTTCTTTAACCTGCACTCAAATCTGAGCACACGGACCTACAGCTTTTTCGCCCCCTTCAAAAATGTAGCCGCTGCAGCCGGGATTCGATCCCGTGATCTGCGGTTCAGCAGCCGAGTACCTTAGCCACTAGACCACCGCGGCGGGGTGACATCATGTGTTGTGACAGCGTTTGCCCAAGCTGACCAAGAAGAAAGAGACTGGGAAAGCTGTTGTGACCCCTTTTTTGTGTGTATAGTTAGGCTTCTTAAATTGTTCATGAAGCAGTAGCCCAGGAACCCTTTTCTGTGCAGCTATAATGAAGAGCCCACACGACTGCAGCAATACTTCATAATCATTTCTGCCCTCACATTGATCCAACGAAAATGGGAGCACGTCATAGTAACTTTCTGTACGTTTGGTATGTAGTATTGCCTAACTTGGCCGTTTAGAAAAATAGAAAAGAAAGCGTAAAAAACGTGAGCCCGCGTGTTTCTGCGTTATTATTGACCACTGGAATATTCAGTCGCGAATCTCCTTTGCTCGAAAACAGCGAGCTTAACGTTGAAATATTTCAAATGACGTGCAGCCCGCCCGGCCTAATCAGCCGGCCGTCCGCTAAGTTGTTTGCCTCGCATAATTTCAGAGTTTGCCTCGTGTAATTCCGGAATTTAGCGTTATTGTTCCCGGCTGCGGTAGCTCTGGTAACTTATTCGCCATCTGCGCCGTCTCTACACGATCGCTCAACTCGTTTATTCTGATTTTGTGTTGTATACGATCGTCGTTTGGCGTGCTCCTGCATGCGAAATGGAATCGCCGGAACGATTTTAAGCTAGCAGCATTAGGAAGAGTTTCAGGCAGCTGCGGAAGTTGTTTCACCCTCAACTGTCGCGATCATCAAGTTTAAAGCGGAGGCTTATCGTGCTGCTGTAGTATAGAGCAGGATTCAAATTAAAACATAAAGTGGAAGCAGAGAGAGGAAGGGAAGTACTTGAAGAAACTTGTAGACGAGATGGTTTGGCTGTGGGGTTTATTGGCTACGCTTTTACCGAAGAACAGACGCTATAAATGTAATATTCGTGTATTATTTAACTGTAGTAATTATTGCTCCCAGAGTGTGAATCATCGCATTCTTGTGAATGCTTGTGCTCTTGGCAGTTAGCTGTTCATTATCTTGATAGTTACCGCTAATTAACCTTTTGTTTTACGTATTTATCCGCATGCCTTCCTCGTCTTTCAATAGGCCATTTTCATAATCCGCAAGAGCGCTTCCCGGTGCTGCATGTTATTGATGATGATGATAGTGAGGCTATTCGCTTTGTAGCAGATAGCCAACGTTAATTAAATTTATAATACAATCAGAAAGACAGACACAAGAGAGAAAAAAAAAGAAGCACAGACAGACTGACCAGCCTGGTGGGTAAAGAAGCCCCTCCCGAAGTCCCTGGAGGGTTATTCGTCTGCATTGTTCTAGGCTAGTCTTGCTGCGCCTCTCTGCGGCGTAGACCACCACGCAATCTGCGCCAACAAACCCCAGCGCGGCAGCGAGATGTGTTCACATTAGGAGGGCTCAGTAGCGTGCACTCCGTCACAATATGTCCGATGGTCTCATCAGCCCCACCACACGCGCGACACCAACCATTGGTGCCACCTGTCCGTTTTCAAGTGAAGAAGAGATCCTCGTTGCTCGTTCTAGGGCTGCCCTATTATGCGAGTTTATATCGAGAGAGCTGGGTCTTCATTTTCGCATGTCTTAGTGTGAGCAAACTGCGCGGAAACACGTTGCTTGCAGGTGCGACTATCTGCTGTTGTTGAACTCACTGCATCGAAGAAAAACTAGTTTGACATTTTTTTTTCAAACATGAAAGTGGTCCTACTTTTTAGTCTTGCTAATTTTAATAGAATGCTTAACTGCATACGGAATACCGGTTACGTTATGCTTAGATTTGAGCGCACGTTAAAGAACCTCAGGTGGTCAAAATTTCCGGAGACCTCCTCTACGGCGTCTCTCAATCCTATGGTGTTCTTGGGACGTTAAACCCCACATGTCAATTGAATACCGGTTACGTAAATATCAGCAGTATGACGTAGGTGCGGCCATCTTGTGTCAATTCATCTAGAATGACGAACGCGCATGATATGGTTCGGACACCTCCCTCCTTGCCCTGGTGTGGGGTCGTTGGGCTTTTGAATGTTAAACACGGTACCCTAATACAGATCACGTCATATAGTTGGTGTATCTGTAGAGGGAAGTTTTCTTCTAGCGAACAAAGTAAAAATACTGTAGCTGGATGTTCATTGTACAAAGCATGACTCAGTCTGTTGTGAAAATAAAGTGAATGTGGGTGCGGTTTCTGTTTTATGCTTTGCGACTGTGCTGCAACCATAATCAAGTGCAATATGCTTATAAAAATCGCGTTGTGCTTCCTTCGTGATTTTTTTTCTTTTCTCTATCTTGTCAGCATTGCTGAAAACCTTTTCAAAATCACTATGCCATTGCGAAAAATTGATTATACTTCACGGTGTGTTACCTTCTGAATTTACACATATGAACATAAATATACGGTTGTTTTTCCCTTTTGCTCCCGTGGAAATTGTCAACAATTCGAATGCATGTCTTGATATTTTCGCGTTTCAGCAGTGACCTCCAACGTGAGCATTTCCATGCCTTCGAGAGCAAACACCACTTATCGTTTCAGCGCGCGGGATAGATTAGATTTAATGATTGGAGCACGCGCGTATCGTACGCGCATGCGCGGACTTCCATCTGCGTTAATTGGTCATTCTGCGCCGTGTACATCGATTGACTTAGGTGACACTCTTAGGGACGAAGCTCTTTATGACGTGGGTATATCGCTCCTTCGTATGTATGTATGTATGTATGTATGTATGTATGTATGTATGTATGTATGTATGTATGTATGTATGTATGTATGTATGTATGTATGTATGTATGTATGTATGTATGTATGTATGTATGTATGTATGTATGTAGCCACCGGTGGCACATACCCGCTCTAGAGTGGGTATGTGCCACAGGAGATGCGAGCTGGGAGATGGTGGTACATGGAGTGTTCACTAGATGGACGCATGGACGGATGTATGGACGGACGGACAGACAGACTAGCAGACGGACGTGCGCATGGATGGACGCAGGAATGGATGGACAGACGGATGAACGGACGCACGGACAGATGAACGGACGCATGGATTGACGCACGGATGGTCGCATGGACGGACGG